CAGTCACACAAACTCACGTTAACCTCTTTTTCTGTGTACAATGTAACACTTCAGTTACGGCTACAGGTTATCTCTTGTCTAATATCTTTATTCTAAGACCTAAGTGCTTATACCGCTTCATGCCACTTTCAGCAACACTGGTATGGCTACTGGGTGTCATGATTGCTTGGCAGATACAAGATATAGTAATTAAGATATCATAATACAACTGACAAACACAGCTGCCTTGTAGCAGAGAAAGACTGGACACACATGAATTACGAATGCTGGGATGATGGGGTGGTGTCGGGAGTGGTAGAGGAGGGCTCCCCAGCTGCTACACAACAAGGCAGACGCTTCAGCAAAAGAGAATTTTTTTTCATTCCCACAAACTGAACCATGTTAAATTAATTACATGACGTATCACATAAAATTGTGCAGCAATTCTTCAATGATGGTCTACTGCATTATTATAATAACGATAGAGTTTCAGTTCCCTAAATTAATAATAATAATAATAATAATAGAGCTTAATAATAACAACAACATTAACTTTTTTTTTTTTTAACAAGTCGGCCTTCTCCTACCGAGGCAGGGTGACCCAAAAAGAGAGAAAATCCCCAATAAGAAAATACTTTCATCATCATTCAACACTTTCACCTCACTCACATATAATCACTGTTTTTGCAGAGGTGCTAGAACACAACATCTCCCTCCAAACTCCTAATATCCCGAACCCCTCCTTTAGAGTGCAGGCATTGTACTTCCCATTTCCAGGACTCAAGTCCAGCTATATAAAAATAACCGGTTTCCCTGACTCCCTTCACTAAATATTACCCTGCTCACACTCCAACAGATTGGCAGGTCCCAAATACCATTCGTCTCCATTCACTCCTATCAAACACGCTCATGCACTCCTGCTGGAAGTCCAAGCCCCTTGCCCACAAAACCTCCCTTACCCCTTCCTTCCAACCTTTTCGAGGACGACCCCTACCCCTCTTTCCTTCCCCTATAGATTTATATGCTTTCCATGTCATTCTACTTTGATCCATTCTCTCTAAATGACCAAACCACCTCAACAACCCCTCTTCTGCCCTCTGACTAATGCTTTTATTAACTCCACACCTTCTCCTAATTTCCACACTCCGAATTTTCTGCATAATATTTACACCACACATTGCCCTTAGACAGGACATCTCCACTGCCTCCAACCGTCTCCTCGCTGCTGCATTTACCACCCAAGCTTCACATCCATATAAGAGTGTTGATACTACTATACTTTCATACATTCCCTTCTTTGCCTCCATAGATAACGTTTTTTGACTGCTTCTGCTAGTTGGCACAGCTGAAGTCACAGCTGGTAAGCAGTAAACATGTCTATATTCCTGTGGGGGCAGTTCTCTCGTGTTTGTTTGCATTTTTTTACAGTCCTTTGGTCAAATTTCTTTTTTCTAACCATGGGTTCTAGTGATATACTGCAGTTAGCCTCAAAAATACTCCATTTTCTCTTACAGTAAGAACATGGGAAGATACTATAATCAAATTGGGACATATGGCAGACGCTTCTGCCGCTGCTGCCTCTGCCACCATACTATGGCCTATTTTATTCATTCTAGAGTATATATCATGTTTCTGTGCTAATTCTTCTTTCAACACACCGGCCGTATCCCACCGAGGCGGGGTGGCCCAAAAGGAAAAACAAAAGTTTCTCCTTTTACATTTAGTAATATATACACGAGAAGAGGTTACTAGCCCCTTGCTCCTGGCATTTTAGTCACCTCTTACAACACGCATGGCTTAGGGAGGAAGAATTCTGTTCCACTTCCCCATGGAGAAGAGGAAATAAACAAGAATAAGAATTAGAAAGAAAATAGAAGAAAACCCAGAGGGGTGTGTGTATATATATGCTTGTACATGTATGTGTGACCCAAAAAAAAGAAAGAAAATCCCCAAAAAGAAAATACTTTCATCATCATTCAACACTTTCACCACACACACACATTATCACTGCTTTTGCAGAGGTGCTCAGAATACAACAGTTTAGAAGCATATACGTATAGAGATACACAACATATCCCTCCAAACTGCCAATATCCCAAACCCCTCCTTTAAAGTGCAGGCATTGTACTTCCCATTTCCAGGACTCAAGTCCGACTATATGAAAATAACCGGTTTCCCTGAATCCCTTCACTAAATATTACCCTGCTCACACTCCAACAGATCGTCAGGTCCCAAGTATCATTCGTCTCCATTCACTCCTATCTAACACGCTCATGCACGCTTGCTGGAAGTCCAAGCCCCTCACCCACAAAACCTCCTTTTTTTTTTTTGGGTCACCCTGCCTCGGTGGGAGACGACCGACTTGTTGAAAAAAAAAAAAAAAAAAATGTATGTGTCCTAGGTAGTAGGTTGGTAGACAGCAACCGCCCAGGGAGGTACTACCGTCCTGCCAAGTGAGTGTAAAACAAAAGCCTGTAATTGTTTAAATGATGGTAGGATTGCTGGTGTCCATTTTTCTGTCTCACAAACAAGCAAGGTTTCAGGTACATCTTGCTACTTCTACTTACACTTAGGTCACACTGCACATACATGTACAAGCATATATATACACACCCCGCTGGATTTTCTTCTATTTTCTTACTAGTTCTTGTTCTTGTTTATTTCCTCTTACCTCCATGGGGAAGTGGAACAGAATTCTTCCTCCGTAAGCCATGCGTGTTGTAAGAGGCGACTAAAATGCCCAGAGCAAGGGGCTAGTAACCCCTTCTCCTGTACATATTACTAAACGTAAAAGGAGAAACTTTCGTTTTTCTTTTTGGGCCACCCCACCTCGGTGGGATACGGCCGGTGTGTTGGAAGAAAGAAAGACATGTATGTGTAGTGTGACCTAAGTGTAAGTAGAAGTAGCAAGATGTACCTGAAATCTTGCATGTTAATAAGACAGAAAAAAGGACACCAGCAATCCTACTATCATGTAAAACAATTACAGGCTTTCGTTTTACACTCACTTGGCAGGACGGTAGTACGTCCCTGGGCGGTTGCTGTCTACCAACCTACTACCTAAATTTCTGTGCTAATTATATTGTTTATTATGTCATATTAGATGAATTGTGATAGATAAATAAGCTGTACAGTTGATAATAGCATCATATTCAAGTATTTTTTCTCGTCTCTCCAGAGTGCAGGAACGAGTTAATGGCTTTTCAATTAATTTAAATGAGGAAAATTAATTTGATATACGAGTAAATTGAGTTATGAGCTAGCTCCCGGATTAAACTCATAAGTCAAGGTTCCACTGTACTTGTATCCCATATCCTCTTCATACTTCTGTTGAACTGCTTGGTATTATGCCAAATATTATTTATTCTGAAGTATTTAACATATTTTTATGATATATTGTTTAATATGTCATATTAGATCAATTCTGATAGGCAAATAAGCTGTAGTGTTGACAGTATTAGCATAATAATAAAGCATATTCCCCTGCATCACGAGACTGAGCTCATGGCAACCGACAGTGGCTTCAAAGCCACCTTGTCTTTAATGGACAATGTACTGTGTAGGTGCTTTACACAACGAAAAGCATTTCTTTCATTCATTGAAACCACGGCTAGGGTTAAAAGTAAACAGGTTATAACAATAAATTGAGAAAAAGAAATTGGAATGACTTGTCCAGCAAGAAGCATCACAAAACAGTACCAGCAGGTTGGTGTTCAGACCCTGGAAATTTGAAATTATGCTAGCCGAAATTAGTGCCGAATAACCAATGGAACCGGACGTCTGATTGCCGGATTTGTGATGGCTGACCTGTATAGTTATTCTCTATAAAAATGTATTTTTTGTTAATATTTTTGGGTGTCTGGAATGGATTAATTGGATTTACATTATTTCTTATGGAAAATATTGCTTCAGTTTTCATACAATTCAGTTTTTGTCAGACTTTCTGGAATGAATTAATCACGAAAACCGATGTTCCACTGTATTATGGTAGAACCATGGTAATAGATATTGACAAATTGGTTTAGAGAGACACGTAAGCAAACACTCGGACATATATATGTACGTATGTACTAGAAAACATTTCAGTCCTTGGACCTTGATAACTTCTAACATACAGAGGTTAACTAAAGTAACTGACATGTACTGTATAAACTACTTAATAAAAAGCTAATTATTATGCAAGGCATTTCAGGCAACCAAAACTAAATTAGCATTACTAGTACATGAGAATAAGATTACTTAGTACATAATATATTGCAAGTAGTATTCAGAAATTCAATTAAAAAATCTAATTAGTAATACACTAAGGATGAAGCCAGGTACCTGTGTTGAAGAAATGACGGAACAATAACATGGACAATACTGGATGAAAGACAGGTATCAGGGGGTCAGGGATTGTTCAGCATAATAAACTGTTAAGATAATAAATGGTTGTCAGGATCACATTAAAGCAAGGAGGTGTTTTTTAACAGCTTTGATGACGATGCAGAATGAAACAATGAAAGTGGGTGTTGAATATCAAGTTACTGTCGAGGTACAGACCTAAGAATATTTCCTCGTTTTGCTGTGCAATAGGAGAATCATTAATCATAACGCTTAGTAGGGCATTTGTAGCTCCGTTCCCAGACATTATGTAGACGGTCTTATCAATGTTAAGAGTGAATTTATTGGTAGTCATTCAGGTAGATATATTTATGAGCCCCTCATTGACAGTGTTACTTGGAGTTCAGATTTGGGTAGAGATGACAAAAGATGTGTTGTCTGCAAACAGAACAGGTCTAAGTTGTTGTATCTGTTGCCCCTGCCTACCTAGCAGTAAACAGGTACTGTAACTAGGTGTTAATCAAATGTTTTGGGATGTATTCTAAAGGATGGTAATATATTTTAGATAAAGCTGGGCTTTGAAATGAGTTGAGGAAGGATAACACCTCTTAACATGTAAATTAAACTGTGTAAAAAACTACCTAAATGTCTCTTGACAGGAAACAAACGGCAATAATAAGGTTCTCAAAGGTGCTTACCATGCCTCGTACAGCTGTGGCAACAACATTCTTCTTGGGTTCCTCATCATATGACTGACTCTGGCAACCAAAATGTTCACAATATTCGTGAACAAACTGCCGTTTTTCTCGGTTCATTGGAGCAAACGAATGAATGCAACTCTTTTGTTTGGACTGGAAAAAATATGCTCATTACAAGATACCCTACACTTACTTTTTTTAATGCTTACAAATTGCAACTTTGTGAAAAATCAGAGACAGAAAAATCATTGTGTAATTAACATTATCTGAATGAGCAGGATGAACACAATACTTTCAAACTACATTACAATATTCACCTCAGATTAGTATGTAAGCAACCAGTGGCATGTTATATTCTTCCTTAAAATAACTAATTACCCAAGACTTATTACAGTACTGCATTTAATTGTTCATCAACAACTCATTATCCAAGATGTAACTATGGAAAACAGAATCCTTAAACAGCACATTTATTAATGAAAGAGGTATGTGATACTGACAGCTTGGTGAAAGACACAAAATGCAAACAATGAGATATTTTATTGGAAATGTGCATTTGGAGTGATCTAGGTCCCAGGATCAAAACATTTCTAATAAAATGCCCTAGTTTTTGCATTTTCTCCCTCTTTTCCCACAATCCCGTATCATGTGTCCAATACACGTCAACTGGCGAGTCTAATATTCTTTCACAAGTGCGCTGATATTATTTACACAATTTTTACAATAATGTAGTAGTCTGCATAACAGTAAATTAGAAGATTTACTGTTATGTAGACTACTACATTATTGTAGTAGTCTGCATAACAGTAGTAGATTTTTTGTGAGAATAGAAATTCAAAATGGAAAGCAAGAGTAATATAATATAAGCCTGGAGATGTGACTAATGAACAGAGAAAATTACATTTTAGTGTCAGGAATGTCTGTCTTGTTTATTCTGGACCCTATTTTGAAATTGGCATCTTTTGAAATTTGTGTGAAATTGGGAAAATTGCCAATTTCTGATCACTTTACTGGGTAGTTGAAATCGGTAAATGGGCAGTTTCTTGTACTCAATCGATAGAACAAATGGAGTTTTAGTGAAATAGCTATGATTTTAGTCAACTGGAACAAGGGAACTGGTCAAAAATAGAGCTGAAAGTGGGCAAAATCGCCAATGCATAAATATCGTCGAGACCATTAACTTTGTGAGAGCATAATTCTGTAAGTTTTTCCATCAAATTTCACACTTTTGGTGTCATTATCATCAGGAAAAGATTCTCTGTCATTTCATAAGAAAAAATAATTTTTTTTTTTTTTTTGGGGAAATTTTTCGACCCTGAGGGAGTTCAGGATCAAGAGTTTCGACCCTCAAAGGGTTAATGTCACTTTTGCACCATTTATAACATATACAGTGTACTGTATATTGTAATAAAGAGTATTTGACTGGCTCCTCCTCCTCTTACTACCTCCCCACTACTACTTCCTTCTACCTCCACTACTACTACTACCACCTCCTGCCTATATATGTCCATCCTGCTCTCCTTTTCGTTAGTGTGGCTTTGTAAATAGTCCAAGTCGGATCGAAACATTGTCGTAATCTGCTCTCTTCTATGTGCAGGTTATTTGTGTATTGTTCCAGTCACAGAACTGTGCCCATTTTTGTTATTTATGGACCCTGCAGTTAAGCGTCTTATTCTTTCCAACTTTTTTAATGCTCTTCCTTCTTTTCAGCCCCTCTTTCATTCTTATGAGGCTGCTCTCATTGCAACCAGGCGTCGTAAGAATCAGCTTCGCTTCCTGCACAGCTGTCTTGCTGAACAAGTTCTGCCCCCTTCCTTCTCCCATTTCCTGAAACCCAACCCACTGGGCACTCCCTTTTCTGATCATGCCCATCTCCTACTTCAGCAGCTCGTCCTTTCTACAAAGTCTCAGGTTGAAGATGCCTTCTTTACTCTCCGTCAGCGTCAACATGCTCTCTTTGCGTCTCTTCCACAAGATCTCTGTAACCTTCTCTCTACTATTGCTTCTGACACTGCTCGCCTGAATTCATAAATTCATTCCTCTAAGCTACGGAAAAAACTTCAATGAAACCATACCACGGGCGGGATTGAACCCGCGGTCAGAGAGTCTCAAAACTCCAGACCGTCGCGTTAGCCACTGGACCAGCTAGCCACAATAAGATTCAGACCGTCACATTAGCCACTGGACCAGCTAGCCACAATAAGATTCTTATTGTGGCTAGCTGGTCCAGTGGCTAACGCAACGGTCTGGAGTTTTGAGACTCTCTGACCTCGGGTTCAATCCTGCCCGTGGTATGGTTTGTTTGCAATCGTGTCAATGCCTCATCTCAGATAGCCCTTGGTCTAAATTCTCCCTTACCGACTGTGTTACTAACCTGTCTTCTGTCACACACACTCAATATGAGCTTGAACTTCTTGGTTTTGGTCTTTCCTTTGCCACTTCACCTACCCCTCACGCTGGTATTGCCCCGATTAGCTCTTTTGATTCTTTTCATCATTCACGCTCCCGTAATCTTTCTGACTTGTCCACCTTTCGTGGTGCTCTCCTTCCTGCTCTTGATAGTCTCTTTTCTAAGAACCACCACCTTCCGTGCCATTACCAACTTGCCCTTTCTTCTCTCAAATCCAACACTAACATTGTCATACTATCTTCTGACAAAGGTAATTCGGTAGTATTGTGACCCCTGAATGGGTCACAATGTATATAATGTATACTACCTGTTCATATAATTTTATATTGCTTATATTTGCGATAATAGCTAGATCGTAAATATACTGCTTTATATTGTTATTTGACTTAGTTATATTATTAGGTAGGATGTAACATTTATATATAGTATTCAGTGCTCATAGTTCGAGAGTGTTAAGTAGCTAACAACATTGTCTAACAATCGTTTCGCTCGTTTCCCTGCCGGCTTCTCTGTGTTGCTGGGCAGCAGCAGTCCATGGAGTCATGTGATCAGGGAGGGGGTGATCACACCTCGCCTGGAGTAGTCTGCCTGGGCTGCGCTCTCTTGTCTGTTGGCTAGGCTTCCGACAAGATGTGTCTTCCTTACTGGCCCTTCTTGGAATAACATCTCTATCGCTTTCTTGTTGGTTCTGTGGAACTCTGTTCACAGAACATAGCCTAGACTTAGTGATTTTCGACGTTGTACTGAAGTTTGTGTCACATAGACACTGTGAAACTCAGGTCCTGAGCTGTAGCTTCTGACCTAATTTGTACTGGTATATGTGTACTGTCACAATCGGGGATTTCCTTATGCTGAACTTAGATTCAGTAGTATAGGAGTTTTGTGACTTTTGTGGAGTATCTGCAGATGGTCCCTACTTAGTGTCGTTATATTATCTCCTTGTTCCTGATTCTGTGTCACTGTTGCTTGCTATATTGCTGTTCGGCTTATCAGTTGTTTTATTGTGCAAGCAAGCTGTTCTGATTGCCAGGTTGGTCATGAAGTTAGTTTATGTGAGGGCTTTTAGTCAGTCACTGGTTAAGTCTAGTAGAGTCTTGAGACATAGCAAACTACTTAGAGCACTTACACACATACACACAAACTTGTATATATTTGTATTATGTTACTAATTGCTAACAATGTACCAGACGGTACTTAAAAGCCATTAAGATGTGATATGTGCCTTCAGCACAATATTACTGTACACAAGAGAAGTGATTATTATGATTATTTTGATTATATTGATTACTATAATTTACTTTGATAATATATGCCTAGACAATTTAATTGTTATTAATAAACTTATTATTTATTATTTTTTTTATTATCACACTGGCCGATTCCCACCAAGGCAGGGTGGCCCGAAAAAGAAAAACTTTCACCATCATTCACTCCATCACTGTCTTGCCAGAAGGGTGCTTTACACTACAGTTTTTAAACTGCAACATTAACACCCCTCCTTCAGAGTGCAGGCACTGTACTTCCCATCTCCAGGACTCAAGTCCGGCCTGCCGGTTTCCCTGAACCCCTTCATAAATGTTACTTTGCTCACACTCCAACAGCACGTCAAGTATTAAAAACCATTTGTCTCCATTCACTCCTATCAAACATGCTCACGCATGCCTGCTGGAAGTCCAAGCCCTCGCACACAAAACCTCCTTTACCCCCTCCCTCCAACCTTTCCTAGGCCGACCCCTACCCGCCTTCCTTCCACTACAGACTGATACACTCTTGAAGTTATTCTGTTTCGCTCCATTCTCTCCACATGTCCGAACCACCTCAACAACCCTTCCTCAGCCCTCTGGACAACAGTTTTGGTAATCCCGCCCCTCCTCCTAACTTCCAAACTACGAATTCTCTGCATTATATTCACACCACACATTGCTCTCAGACATGACATCTCCACTGCCTCCAGCCTTCTCCTCGCTGCAACATTCATCACCCATGCTTCACAACCATATAAGAGTGTTGGTAAAACTATACTCTCATACATTCCCCTCTTTGCCTCCAAGGACAAAGTTCTTTGTCTCCACAGACTCCTAAGTGCACCACTCACCCTTTTCCCCTCATCAATTCTATGATTCACCTCATCTTTCATAGACCCATCCGCTGACACGTCCACTCCCAAATATCTGAATACATTCACCTCCTCCAATCTGATATCCAATCTTTCATCACCTAATCTTTTTGTTATCCTCATAACCTTACTCTTTCCTGTATTCACTTTCAATTTTCTTTTTTGCACACCCTACCAAATTCATCCACCAATCTCTGCAACTTCTTTTCAGAATCTCCCAAGAGCACAGTGTCATCAGCAAAGAGCAACTGTAACAACTCTCACTTTATGTGTGATTCTTTATCTTTTAACTCCACGCCTCTTGCCAAGACCCTCGCATTTACTTCTCTTACAACCCCATCTATAAATATATTAAACAACCACGGTGACATCAACATCCTTGTCTAAGGCCTACTTTTACTGGGAAATAATTTCCCTCTTTCTACATACTCTAACTTGAGCCTCACTATCCTCGTAAAAACTCTTCACTGCTTTCATTAACCTACCTCCTACACCATACACCTGCAACATCTGCCACATTGCCCCCCTATCCACCCTGTCATACGCCTTTTCCAAATCCATAAATGCCACAAAGACCTCTTTAGCCTTATCTAAATACTGTTCACTTATATGTTTCATTTGTAAACA